TTTTGTGTTTTTTGGATTAATGCTAGCCTTGTTGGGGTGAGATGGTATCTCATTGTAGTTTTGATCTGCATTTCTCTAATGGCTAATGATCGTGGGCATTTCCTCATGTATCTGTTAGCTGCCTGAATGTCTTCTTTGGTGAAGTGCTGATGTGCCTTTTCATATCCTTTGCCCATTTTTTAACTGGGTTATTTGTCTTTTTGTTGTTGAAGTTTTGCAGTATCCTGTAGATTTTAAAGATTAGATGCTTATTGGATTTGTCGTAGCCAAAAATTTTTTTCACAGTCCGTAGGTTGTCTTTTTACTCTTTTGGTGAAGTCTTTTGGTGAGCATAAATGTTTGATTTTTAGGAGCTCCCAGTTATCTAGTTTCTATTCTGGTGTTTGTGCATTGTTAGTTATGTTTTGTATTCTTGGCTGACATATTTTTGAAAAGGATGATGCTGTTTATCTAAGGGGAGTAAAACAGGGTGTTACCAGTTTGCTGAGGCTTTAACCTATCCGTAATTGGCAGTCTTCGTGACATATAGCTCTGTCTGTACAGACAGGGTTGGCTTCATGGATGTGGGACCTGTGCAGTCACTCACGGCCCAACACTTAGACGGGCCCGCGCTTAGTTTAATGCTCTGCTTTTGTTGTCTGGAAATTGCTAATAATTTTTCAACAAGGGGCGCTGCATTTTCATTTTGCATCGTGCCCCCAAACTATCTGTTCCTGATTATGGGAGCTGATTTCATCTTCACTTACTGTAGCTTATGGGCTGAGACATCGTTTTCACAGGACCAAACTATTGATCATGTTAAGGGCAAGGGTAGTGATGAGCAGAAGGGGCTTCTGGCCAACTTTTCATCATTTTCACAGGAGGCTAAACAGTACGACAGGAAAGGGAAGGAGAGAGTGTAGTTTCAGCAGGGAGTATTGACAGCTGTAGGAGCCCTGGTGGCGCAGTGGTTAAGTGCTCAGGTGCTAACCAAAAGGTTGGTGGTTTGAACCCACCAGCACGCTCCGTGGAAGAAAAATGTGACAGACTGTTTTCATAAAGATTTCAGCTTTGGAAACCCTATGGGGCAGTTCTACTCTGTTCTATAGGGTTGCTATGCATTGGAATCGACTCAACAGGCACCGGGTTTGGTTTTTTTATTGACAGCTAAGTTTCTCCGTTAATAACAACAGCTGCTACTGCTCCTGCTACGCCCATCACCATATCAAGCAGCGAACATCTGCCAGGCTCTGGTTAACTGGTTTATGTGCGTGATTTCCTTTAACTTCATCTTCTCATCAACCTGAAAAATGAATCTTATTTTTATAGATAGGGAATCTGAAGTTTCTCGTAATGAAGTTGCCCACAATTACATTCAGAGTCCTTTACTACTCACTCAGAAGTGGCCAGACCATCCTTGTCTATTGTTAAAATTGAACTTGAATCACTGAGTTACCTATTTAAAAAGACTACATTGGCAGGGAAGGGACCATAAACTAATGCTTATATAGATTGTTTATTTTTTACTTTCATATAATGGTAGATCATATTGCTGTTTATTATCTTTTGGATATAAATTTCTTTTCTTTTTCTTCATTGGATGCTCTCTGGAAAGTATACTAATACTACAAGTATTTTTCCGAGAAGAAAAAGCTACCTTCTTTGCTCAGAAGGTTGTGTCAGTGAACATTGTTAGATATTTTTTTAAACTTCAGCCAAAGTGTTATTTTGTGGGTTACTGTTGTTATTGTTTTTCTAGGTTTTTAATGTATGGTTGTGTTCTGCCATAATTAAAAAAAAGATTATTCGTGTTTTCTATTTTAATTTTGCTTAAAAACAAGGTTTTTCAAAAATTTGTAAAAAAAAATCCTATTCTGCACTAACCCCAATTATCTCTCCTTCAGGAAAGCATCTCCGGCAGCTGATGTTTCCAAACTTCAATATAGTTCCTCATCCAATCACAAGTATATTCCCCGGAGGGCCGTGCTCTACGTACCTGGAAATGATGAAAAGAAAATAAAGAAGATCCCATCCTTGAACGTCGATTGTGCAGTGCTCGATTGTGAGGATGGTGTGGCTCTCAACAAAAAGGTAATGGCATGATTTTTCCATAGGATGAGAGAAAGTAAGGAAATTTGGTGCTGTTTCAGTAGCATTGCTCACTCTTTGGAAAGATTCCACCGTACTCATCTTTTGCTGACTCTGAATATATTTTTCGATCCGGCCGTCATATGAGTCCTCAGTGTGTGAGTCTCTTTCCTCCAAGAGAAAGAATCCAAAAAAAAATATCTTGTAAAAGCATGACCTTCAGTATATGTGACTATGTGTGTGTGTAGATAAAGAGACAGGCAATCAATTTTGGCCGTAATGCGTGCTGGTTTTCGTCAATACGTTAAATTGTTCTAGACTTGTGGTGTAAAATTTTCAGATTGATAAAATACAGCTAGGAACTTACTCCTTCTTTTTATCACCAGGTATATTATCTAATCCATTTCCTATAGGAAATCAAGGTACTCTCAGGCACTTTATCAACTTTTTCTTCATAATAATCCCTGTCCCTGACAAAAGAAAATATCTTATCTCTTTGGGACAAGTGCCAAGAAAATAAAAGATAATCTTGTATGGATATATCACCATTTCCCTTACTTAATTAAAGGGAGACTACACCAGGACATTAGAGTTATAGGTTCTGGCTTATTTTTTCATGGCCGGACCAGAGAAGGGAACCTTAGAAAATATCCAGTTTGTAAACAGGTACAAAAGGTTCTCACTGGGTAGTCTCATAATAGGTGCTTTTTGTTTCATTTTGTTTTATTTAACTTTGTTTTCCAGGTTTCTGTAATGAACATGGATTTGTTCAATAATTAGGTGAAAATATAAATCATTATAACAACTTATGTTTATGTGGAACTTTTTTAGTTAAAAATATGTTTTCTCTCAACCTTTTTAACTATCCAGTCTCTAGACTGTGAGGTTGGGCTGGGAATGGGTTGTGGAGCTGGGGCAGAGGGAACTGACCATCTGGATTTATACCTATTTGGATAGTTCTTTGTCCCAGGTGATCTGAAAGAGCATGACAGTATTATTCAACTTTCTTGATTAATTGCTTTCTTTGGAGATTGCTAGCAAACAAATATTTATCTTTAAAAAAAAAAAAAAAAGGTTAATTTCCAGCATCTTTCTAATGGTCAAGCCAAGGCTTCCCAAGTATTTGGAAAAGGATTAGAATAAACATGTGGAATCTAAACCATCTACTCAGCATATTTGGCATGTGCCAAGGAAAATTCAATTAATCGTCTTTCTCCCAGAGATTAAGGTAAATAGACCTTTTCTTGAAGGATATAATGTGATTCCAGGATGGTCCCTCCCAAAACTCATGTAGTTCACTCTAAGATTAAATAGTAAATTGTAATTCCAGTTCTGTGTCACCCAGGGCAATTCACTTCACTTCTTTACTTCAATTTCTTATCTATACTGTGGGGATGACAATATCTTCTTTTGTCAGGGACAGGGATTATTATGAAGAAAAAGTTGATAAAGTGCCTAAGAGTACCTTGATTTCCTACAGGAAATGGGTTAGAGAAATCCAATAGTAATCATGATTAGAGGGCAATTTATTTCAGCATGTAGCTCAGCGAACCATTAGGTGCCCTGATAAACTTCTAATTAAATTTCTTCATAAACTTTGAGGCTATTTTCCCATGTCCACCTGAGGATGTTTCCTGCCACCCAAGTGGGTTGGAAATATGGTATATTCCTGCCCCACTTTTCCTTACTGTTCATCTGTGTTCCAAAGCCCATCTTTGTACTCATAGTTCCCACCAGTCCTGGCCCAGAGAGGGACAACGAAGTTCTCCTAATGCAGCTGAACACTCCATTAGCTGTTAGACACACTGTCATATGCGTACTGAGCTTGCAGTCAACTAATTTTTTTTTTTCTTATCCACAGAATGTTCTGGTAAACCAGGCTAGTACTTGTAAAAAAAAATTTTTTTTCCTTAAAATCTTTATCCAGGATTTAATTTCACCTCATGTATTTTATTTCATAGCTTTAGCCTGTCAAGATCTTTTTGGATTTTGATTTCATCATCCAACCCCTATATCATCTGAAAATTTGAAGGCACACCATATGAAAATTTGACAAGTTTCTGAGGCAGTGTTGAAGAAGTTGGAGCTAAGCATGCTACTAGTAACTTCTGTTCAAGTTTATTTAACAAACATTTATATAAAGCAAAAAAAAAATACCCAAACCCATTGCTGTCAAGTTGATTCTGACTCATAGCGACCCTATAGGACAGAGTAGAACTGACTAAATGCTAGGCACAGGGCTTTAATTTGCATAATAGCCCTAGGAAATACTATTATCATGCTCATTTTACAGATAAGGAAACTGAGGCACAGAAAGGTAAATTTCATGAATCAGTACTCTCGGTAAGATGGTTCAGTCACCTAACTCCTAAAATCCAATCTTTTCACAAGGATATTATGAGAGATTTTTATCAAATTCCTTTTCAAAATGAAGATACATTCCCCTATCTGTTGTTAGTTGCCACTGAGTGGGCGCCAGCTCGTGGCCAACCTCTCCACCATGAGTGACCCTGCTGGTATTGGAAATACTGGAGGCACTAGCTTCAAGCCGTGAGGGCAGTGGTGGAATTCTTGACTTCCACATGAGAGACTTGGGCTTGATTCCCTTCCAGTGCACCTCATGCATAGCCACCACTCATCTGTCAGTGGAGGCTTGCATATTGCTATGATGCTGGATAGGTTTTATCGGAGCTTCCAGACTAAGACAGACTGGCAATCTTCGCTTAAAAAAATTAGCCAATGAAAACCCTATGGATCACAACAGTCTACATTCCCCATGAGTCGATGTCCATGAGTTGGAGGCCCACTCGACAGCAGCTAACAGCAACAAGCTTCCAGCGTCATAGCAACATGCAAGCCACCACAGTATGACAAACTGACAGACAGGTAATGATTCCCCACTCTACCTATCTAGAAGGTAGAGGGTGATTCCCCTCACCCCCTACCTCACCAACAAAAATGAGGTTACGTAGATGAAACTGGTTCTTGACAAACCATGTCAATACCTAGTTGTTACCAGGTTCTTTTTGAAGTACTGGATATACAAAAATGGTAATGACTTCCATCCATTGAGAGTTTTCTATGTACTATGTTTTAGATATATTATCTCATGTAATTCGTACAGCAAGGTTTGGAAATATTCCCAAGACCACATTGCCATTAAATGGCAGAACCAAGATTTGAATCTTCTAGAATTTTTGCCAGGAATCAGCCTCAAGTTTACCTCTCAGTATCTTCTATAATTTACCTTTTCTCCTTTCTTGAAAAATTAGTGTCTTGGCCTCTCTTTATCTTTCACCACCTTTTGTGTTCTCCATGATTCCTTAGATTACCGACAGGAGCTCTGTGTTCACACCTGCAAATTCTTTCAGTGTCCTGTGATTGTAACTCATTTAGACCTAGAGACTTCAATCCATTTTAATTGTTTAGATAATTCTGAGGAGCCCTGATGGCGCAGTGGTTAAGAGCTCAGCTGCTAACCAAATGGTCGGCAGTTTGAATCCACCAGCAGCTCCTTGGAAACCCTATGGGGCAGTTCTACTCTGTCCTATAGGGTCACTATGAGTCAGAATTGACTAGACGGCAACGGATTTGTTTTTTTGGTTTAGATAATTCTGAAGCTTCTTTTTTTCTTTCTTGAAGTCACCTTTTAGTCGTATTTCTTGCTTGAATATTATCCGTGATGGAGGAGATAGGGCAGAAACCCTTTTTAATAAGGTTATTACTTACTAAGCAGAAACCCATATTAAAACTCTCATTCCAGATTATGTAGTGATAGTTTTACTAGATGGAACTATTAATGCCTAATTCAGCCTTCTTGGAATTATTAAAACTTAGTCATGTCATTTTATATCTCATTTTATTTCCTTTTTATTAATAGACTTATTCCATATTTTGTTTGACTGACTTTTTGGAGTATGGGTTTGCAATGAAAACAATAGGAGTTTCCACAAAGCAGTTATAAGTCTATAATACCTTCCAGCAGGCTCTAATCCTGTCCTGCTAATCCAATTTTGGTTAATTAGCTCCTTCATGTCAAGGATGGCACTAACAGCTTGCCTTCCAAAGCATGGGTGATGAAAAGACTGCCTCCATTCCCCTCTCGTCTCCTCCTTGTCATTGTTAAAGGCATGAGGAGATGGGGAACTATCTGAACTACTGTTTACTGGGCTGCAACGAAAATATGCCCAAGTAATGCACAGAGTTCCACTGAATCACAGTGACACTGGGTGAAGCTAGGAAGATGGGAGTAGAGTAGGTAGAGGCAGGATTCCAGAGCTCCTATTTTAGTTGAGAGTCTCTGGATGGTACAAACAGTGAAGAGTCAGCTTGGAAGAAAGGCCAGTCAATCTGCTTCCGAAAGATCACAGCCTCAAAAATCCTATGGAGTGCAGTTCTACTCTGCAATGCATGGAGCTGCCGTAAGTCAGAATCAACTCAACAGCAACTTTTTTTTTTCAGTTGAGTAATATTTATTGAGTATCTACTCAACTAGGCACCATGGCAGACCAGAAGGATACAAAGACGGTTGCACGGTCCCCAACCTGGAGGAATCATAGGCTGGTGGTGAGACAGGCAAAAGAGTAAATAATTGTAATCTAATAATATAGCTCTATAAGAAAGCATACTTTTTAGTATCATTTGGTTCAAAGTATTTTTTAATTTACATTTTGATCTTTTGCTTGAACCATTAGTTACAAAAGAATGTCTCCCAGACTCTCTGTGGTGAAGAACAACTTTATTGTTCTGTTTTTATATGTTGTTGTTTTGTTGGTTTTTTCCACAACCCATTGTGGACCAGTGCTTTTGTAAAATACAATAAAAATTAATTTCTAGAAAAATTAAATGCTACTTGTAGCCGTGTCAAATGCTATGAAAGTTTTTAAACTTTTACTCCTCATTTCTGTACTCACCTTATAGTGAGTTTGCGAGTCAGTAGTAGTCCACATACCACATTTTGAGCAGCACTGACTTAGAATTTTTAAATTTCTAAATCCATGGAG